GGGGGGGGGGGGGGGGGGGGGGGGGGGGGGGGGGGGGGGGGGGGGGGGGGGGGGGGGGGGGGGGGGGGGGAGAAGGACGTATCCGCTGATGGTTCCGTGAGCCCATACGTCCAGGGACTGTCTTTCGAAGATTTCTCCGAAACTGTGAGGACGACCGTGAAAGTTCTCGAAGGGTTGCATCGGAAGGAGACTTACAGACGGACGGAGTCTACGGGTTTCGATCCGGTTCCTCGCGATCGCGTACTCGACTCTTCCGGTGGGCTCGCTACTCGGGTGTCATTTGGGTATCCCCGACGGTCCGAGATCGGAGCGAACCGTTGCACGATCGAAAGGTGTGACGAGTGAAGAATGGAGGGGGAGGGGGAAACTTCCCCTTCGACGGCCGACGATCGTCCTGCCGATGACATCGTCGCAGTGCCAGGAGCGTTTCCCTCTGGAAAAACGGGACGACAGGGCATTCGTCGCTAGAGAATGCTTCTATATGCACGACTGGCACGCTCGCAAAAAAGAACTTTCCGTAAAATGCAGTCACCTGCCGGACGGCTGCGAAAGAAGGGGTTTTCCTTCTCGCTCTTTGGGATCTCGGCCACGAGGTTTCCTTCGCGAGCCCTCTTAGTCTGTTTTTGCGTGGGGGTGGCGGATGCCTCGATCGAACCGATCGCACATTTCGAGCGCGTCGTCGTCGAACCGTAAAGCAAGCGATGATGCCGTTCGGTTTCCCGAAGGCATGGAACTTCGGTCTATCGTAAACTATCGGCTGCGAACGACGTTCGCGTTTGCCGTCACGACTCTTACGTTCCGCGATGTCGGATTTGAACCTGGACCTCCTTGTGCTAGCCCTAGCCCCTATCCACACAGCACAGGTACATCCCAAAGATATCCCTTGAGACAAGTGAGAAGTCCCAGGTAGTACTTTAGGGTGCCTTCCTTTCTGCAACGTGATCATTTCCTATCATCAAGGACAACCAATTACTTTCGATATCTCCATTTCATCTTCAAAGAATACCTAATCTGAAGTTCTATACCAACTAGAGAGTGACGATTTAGAGAGTGGAAAAACTTTATTCCTAATGATCCCAATATAGAAGACGCCAAGGGTTACAATTTAGCACTCTCACACGAGACGTCACGGACGAAGACAGTAGACTTTAAGTCTATTGAAATGTGGGCTAAGGTCTCCAACCAAGATAGTTGTATCCAGACATACCGATCAGACAGCATTAATGAGAATATAACGGAATAAATTGAAATTTGGACCGTAATTTTTTCACTTTCCCTAGTGGCAGTTTTCCTGATGAAAATCACGAAAATCCTCTCTTATCCTCAGGACAAATCAAGTAGATGAATTTGATAGAAAAGATCTGAGGTTGCAGATCAGGACTCACGGGAGACATCTACCGTCGAAGATATGCACTGACTGAAGGCGACGAAGTACTGAAGATCCCTAAAGACATCCCTAAGATGTCCGTAAGACATCCTCCTCTAGATATCGAAAAGCGCTCGACTGAAGATGTCTTCGGGATATCCTATAAAGACCATTGGACGAGTCGTCCAGTTGGGGACATCCCTGGGATATCACCGTGTCGTGATATCCATCGAGCCACGGCGACGCCTTCGAGAGGGGAACATTCTACGTTGAATTCCTCTCGACTCGACTCGACTTCCCCGAGAAACGCACTCCTATATTGCAGCTACGTTTTTCCGAACTCCTTCAGGAACGAGAAGCAGGGAACCGAGCGATAGAAACAGATGGGACGAAAAAGCCATCTCCGAAAGAGAACCTTTCTTCCGCAACACGACCGGCACCGACGAATTAGGACTCGTATCGCAGGGTTACTTGCTTCTTCGAGTCCGTAAAATGGCACAAGAGTTCGCGAAATCGTATTCCCTTGTGCAAGACGAAGTGCTGGGGACGAAGGAGGACTCTGTGAGGTAAAATCGAACGCATGCCTCGTGGCTTTTTCTCGTAGCACTCGAGAATCCGCCGAACGAATCCGATTTCTCTGAGACTCGCTCCGAGAAATCGGGGCAATTAAGAACTGGGACTTTTGCGTCCCTGGGTCATCTCGAGAACCAACGGCTTCTTTCCCTTGGGGACAGTTTTCCTTAGGTTAAGTTAATTTTAGCCTACCGCTCCCCTTCTCATCTACCGCAACCAATTAGCGGCACATTTCTTTCATCCTGTATCAGAATTCGTAGCAAAATTCTTGCCCCGCCTCACACAACTATAGCCTTTAATCACTGCTTCGTATTCCTCAAAGAATATCCTTTTCACGGACAGACAGCGGTGCACACAAGCAGCGGTGCGAGATCGGTGCGAACCACGCGCACCGACCATTTTTCTCTCGATAATTTTTCGTTACGCAAAAATAAAATTCCAGTTGCTCGCTATGAGGCCTCTGCCCAACTTACAGAAATCTGACTTCGAAGGGAGAGTAGTCGTCACCGGCTCCGGTACTCTGCCGTTCTCAGGAATGGAACTCGACGAGATATGCGCAATAGCGAGAGAGATCGGTTTCTGTCACGACTCGCCTTTCCTTACCCTCGTACCGATACATTTTCGACCGCGCCATCCGCGTGATCGCTTTCGTTCTCCGCGTGGGAACCCCTTCGCTTTTACCTGGTTCTCGGCCGTCATCGTCGCTTCACACCTCCGTCGCCGAGCCCGCAGCGGAAGAGGGAGAAGGGGACGGGGTCGTCCATTTTACCTCCGCTTCGGGATGGAGTCTGAGTGCTCGCTTTATTTCATCATCACAACGGGTTCTTCTCTCCGCGTTTCCCCGAGAGGGTCGGCGCATCTCTGGAAATCGGCAAACGTTTCGCCGAAAACCACGAGAGCCTCGTTCGCATCGAATCCACGCGAGGTTGCGATTCGACGGTGTCGTCGGATCACGACTCCGTTCGCTCGGGCGTGAATCACGGCACAGATCGAGTGGGATCGAAGTTGGCTCTTTTCCGGTGCGGCGACGTTCCGAGAAACCCCAGAAAAAGTCAGTCCGATGGACTAATGGTCTCCACGATCCACCATCGTGATTCGTACGGCTTGATCCTTTGTTCGACTCAAAGCAACGGGTAGTGAGGATGAGTGAAGTGAAAACATGCACGAGAGAGAGTGAAAGCGGGCGACGACTAACATGCACGAAAAGCAGTACAGTAGAGGGAAGATGGAGTCGGGTCTTACCAAGAAAGGACCGATCAGAGCGATCCCGATCCGTTGGATGACATCTGGGATCCTCTGACGTGGGGTACATCAACACATACACGTCAGGCACAGGGTGAGACGTGAGAACAAAGACAAAGGAAGAAAACACCAGTGGGTCGACATAAGCAGAGTGAAAAGGGCAAAAAAGGGGCACCTGGCAAAAGAGTTACGGGAAAGTTTGTTTTTCTAGCTAGGGCTAGTAATGCAGGTTATTTTTTTTTCACGATTCCATCGTTTTCACGCGCAATCGTTGGAATGTTGTGGACGGACGGTGTGTCTGTCTCTAAGGGAAAGTGAAAACTCATATTTATATTTAGGTAGAAAGTGGCTTCGGCACTTCGATGGCATTGCAGATGGCCTGGAAGTGCAGAAATGGAAAATTGTTTCTTTTGAAGTTTTGGAGACTCAAAGGAAAGACAGCATCCGAAAGAGATTTCCGTGGGGATTCGGTTCGTACCGTTTCGCCGCCGATGCCTTCGATGCTAGCTTGCGAAACAATTTCTCACTGCCTCCCGATTCGGGCGATGCTCGTCATTTAAACATTCAACAGTCATCCTTCGGTGATGCGCTTACAACCATTCATATATGTGTGCCTGACGTATCGTGGCGCATCTGGAAGTGGATTCCGCTACTTGGTCTCCAATCTCTTACACTCGCTACCATAAAGAATGCATTTTTCAGATCGTACCTGCCCCGATAGACCTTTTTCGACCCGGATTTGGGTCGTGGGGGAACTCCCGGTCGAGTGGAACACGGCTCACATCCCACCCGCATTCAAGAAAGGGTTGGAAAAGAACATCTCTAACGACAGACCCGTTCCGCCGACCCGCATCGTGGAGATACTCGAACGGTGATAGGCAGAACCATCTAGACGACGACCGAATCTCGAAAGAGTGGCAGCATGGGTTCCGATCTGGGCGTCCGTAAGCCGTCGATATACCGACAAGTTTCCTACGTTGGGTCGCGGCATTCGATGAGGTTCACCATCTGGATCTTTTCGGTGAGCTAACCAGCATCGGCACGATGGGATCTCTCATTCTTGGAATTCGGCATTTTCTCACCGAGCGCTACGAAACGGCGATCTATTAAAAGGCCTCCTTCATCCGGTCGCCTGTGGCATCCGGTATCTCTCAAGGCTCCATTATTACCTTCTCGGCTTCGTCAACAACATATTTCACATTTTGCAGTATGCGATGATTTTCTTTCATTTAGGAAAAAAAAAATCCCATATACCGTACTACAGCAAGCACAACTCGTTAAGCTAAAGATATACAAGCTATCACTGTCACTATGAAGCAAGACATTCCACTCGACAAAATTTGGTGCATTTGAAATCCAAACAAACTATGGCTAGAGGTCAATTAATGCAACTTCTGTGAGAATATATAATTAGCTACCCCTGGCACTAAAAGAAATTCCGATTCTTAAGAAGTTTATGACAAAACTAAAGAGCTACTTTCTTTTTAATCAGATTTAATACAACTCCATAAAAGAAATGCTGACCTACTGATTCCCATTTTGATAATAGTAAATCAACCCGGACAGGCCAGCACGAACCACTGGTCACTGGCTTTTTGGCAAGCCCTAAATTTGATTCCCTCATCTATTCCTATATTTATTCTCCTCCTCCAAAATTCATCCATTTCCTGCATGTATTTGTATTTATTTTTACACTGCCTGTCTTTGTGTGTGTGTGTGTGATCATGATATTCAAATCATCCCACACAAGAGTTCAGAGTGTTTCCTTTATGCGTTCTTTAAAATATGAAGCTGCTTTTTTTTTCTCTCTCTCTCAATCTCTAGAAGCATGACCCCCCCCCCCGGGATGTGGAGGCATCAAAGAAGGATCTTTTGTCCTCGTTTCACTGTTCGGCGTGTCACTCGCCGAATAAAAATAATGCAGGAAGTATCATGTCGTGAGAGTCTCTCTCGATCATTCCACTCCTTGTTTATCCCACGAGGCTGTTTACTTTCATCATGCCACCCCCTTAAAAGTGTCGGCATTTGGGAATGTTGCCAAACAGCAAGCTAAATCGGTCCCATCATCGCACGTATCTCCTCTAAGAAAAAATGTTCTTTATTGCCAACCATTCCAGAGAAAACCTGAGCGATGGAGTATCTCCGGCTGGGAAAAAATCGAAGGGAAAAAATCGCCTGGAATCTCGAGCCTCGTTCGAGGAAGAGTAACGTCCGGCAACGTCCCTCCTTCTCTCATCGAATTCGTGTCCTAGCAAGAAGGGGAATGAGACGGGGTCACAGGGAATGTGCGAGACGGGAGCCAAGAAGGACCAAACCGCCTCGGGGCGAGAGATCTGTCCGGAACACCTCTTTTCCTTTCCTTCCCTTCATTATCTAAATTCACGATAAGGTGCTCAAAGCCCCTCTGGATTCCTCGTTACGTAAAAGATCTGGGGTGGATTGCATAAAATTGACTTTAGCGTAATAAAGCTTTAAATATTTAGCGGTACTAATGGAAGTTTAAAGCTTCATTACGCTAAAGTCAGTTTTATGCAATCCACCCCTGAACCTACCGAAGTCTGCGAACCGACTCTCTTAAAATTATCTTCCATTTCACTAGAAGTCTTTCCTTCCTGGAACGCATGAAAAAAAAGCTATTTTCACTCCCATCGAGAGCGCAACTCGAGTCTTGGCATCGTTAAGAAATAGGCATCTTGGGGAGATCCACTTGAATTTCGGTGAATTTTTCCATCACCGCACCACTCGCTCGACAGACGAAGCGCATTTGTAAGTCTATCATTTTCCATCAGCTGCTTTTTCCATCATTAGAAGAAACCACCAACTCGCATGAAGCAAGAAACCACTCGTAAAAAATTCATTAAATCGATTTCAGATATCCTCGTGGTTGAAAATTCTCAAGATGATACACCATTACCATTTGGATGGGTTTTGAAGGAATCTGTCTCCTCTCCTGCACTACCGAATAGCAGAGCAAAATTGAAAAAGAAGTGATTATTTGTTGGTCTCCCTTTCTCCGTATTTCCTCCTTCTCCCTCTCCCTCTCCCTCCCCCCGTTTCGCCGTCAAGGATGTCGAGTGGAAGGAAAGAAGGACGTGCGGCCTCTTCTCGGCAGCGGAACGGTCGGACGAAGCCTAAAATCGTATCTGTTTCTTAAGATCTCGCGCACGAGCACGGGGAATTCGAGTCCCTCGTGGATGACAGCCCCTAAATTTCTCTCCCCGTTTCCATTCCGAGTCCATCCTCGCCTAAAGCGTCGAGAGCCAGGTTAAGAGTAGATAAGGTCGGGTCGAAAGCGAAGCCACTAATAATGGCGGTTCTAGCCCCATGGCAGATGACGTCACTGGTATACACATGCTCCGATTGCTCCATTCTCGCCCTTGGTTTTCCTCCGATGTCATGAAATTATTTGAAGCATGATGTCCTCATTTCGTAACCAATCGCTCGTTAAAAAATATCCCTTAAATTGCGGAAGATAATGCATCGGATGGGAAAGAGGCGGGGAGGATTCCTTACTGAAAGGTTCGAGGGGGATGCAACTGTAGTGAGAATATATTATTATCAATATTTACGGAAATTGTTAAGATGGGTCATTTGCCCTTTTGAAATGACAATGAAAATATGCGTTCATTGTCAGACGTGCTCGTTCTGTGTTGCTGTATCAGAGGCAGGGAGCTTGTTTGTCATGGTCATGACAAATCACGTGATTTTCATGAACACCATGAGGATATTCCTTCTCGCCACTTCAACGAAAGACTTCCGTTTCTTCCTCACCTTCTTGTCTTTGCAGAGCAACTCAGAATTTATGAAGAGAATCCAGATGAACAGCCGCGCTCTTACAAATATTCGAAATGCTCGATGGTTGACTTGGAATTTCGATTGGATCATTTCGGCGAAAGATAACAATCGACCCTAAAGGGATGTTTTGGAATCCTCGTCTCGGTCCACTTCAGGAATGTCATATTCCGCGCGTTTCCACCGCATCACTTCGATCTTTCCCAACCCTGGTTCCTTTGGAACGATGAAACTAACGTTACTCTCTGCCGGCTCCAAAATCATCAGATGTTCTTGCAGGCGGCGATTGCACATACGATCGGCATCTGCGAATGCTACGAACCTTTCCCAGTGCCACAATCGAGAGATGCAATCGTTCGAGCGCAATAGAATGGAGGCGCAAAGTACAAGGTAATATGGCAAGAAAAAACTAACCGATATGACATTTTTAACAGAGGAGAAATAAATTTGGGAAATGAGATTTTATCAATCAGCCAAGGAGAGTGTATGCCAGTGACGTTCTTGGCTCTCTCTCCCCACCCCCCTCTGGGCTGAAGCCCAACCTTATCTACTCTTCTAACCTGGGTCGAGAGGACCATCCCCAAAACGACCGATGGGAAGAAATTCACATTCGTTAGCGGCTTTCGACGATTCCATCCCGAAACGCGACGATTCTGAAACCGGAATGCCATTCGACGTTTCGACTGTAAGTTGCCCGTTTCGCATTCCGTGCCTTTATTTTTTTTGTTGCAAGTTTCTGCCCTCTACGTGGCCTCTTCTCTCTTCGTGGTCTTTCGAACCGACGCATTCGGGCTTTCGGTCGCGAGAATGCAGCCCCACGGAGTGAGGAAGGGACCGAGAAGGTGATCGTGCCGCATTCGAGGTCGTTTCACGACCTCACGGATGGAAGGCCCATGGAGGAAGAGTCCGCCCAAACGATATGATCCCCTTCGATGACCCCGATTCCTTGTCCACCTTGCGACTCCGTTGCGTCTCACGCGCACGGGAAGAAGCGGGAACGAGCCCGAGTATCGGAGAGTGCTAAGTGCAAGACGACGAGGCCAGAAAGAGATACGAAAGCGTCCCTGCGCAGTGATGCACACGGACGTTCTTGTAGGAGCCCCTTTCTTTCACCTCTCTGAACTTCTGCATGCTGGGAATGTATAAAAAAAAAAACTAAGCAAAAAGCAGTCGGAAGCCTCCGGTTTGCACGAACACGGCAAGATAAGAGAATCGACATGCCGGACGGGGATGGGATCTCTCGACCGATCCTCACCTCGGATGACGTCAATCTTGTCTTCTATTTTAAATATCTTAGTTTTCAGTCTCACTTTAGAACCTTGGTCCTACCATTCACTGACGCTCGACGTTCGTGAAATGAACGCGGCAAAAAAGGTGAAACTGCATCCAGATATTCGAAACCGTTCGACACTCTCCGGTAAAATAATTTGGGAAAACAATAAAGAGATATACGTTGACATCTGCTAGAATTTGGACGAGAAACGACCGCCGTCAAAACTACGAGGAGAAATCTGCTTTTTCATCCCATCGATCGGATGGACGAAATGCTAAAAAAAATAATCCATTCGTTCGCGTTTCGGCTAGCATATTTGAGCGAAGGGATCGTCGCACTCCACCGAACGAATTCATTCGAAGGAATTCGATGAGGAACGGGTAAATATAATCGAGGAGAGGTGAAAGAAAACCGGTCGAAAGGCCACGGGGGAGAGAAGCTGCTCCTGCATGCAGATCGCATTTTCCTCTTCTAAGCGAATTTCCTTAGAGGTAAACGGCCGGCGGCAAGAGGGCACGACGACGAATCCGTACTCGTAACGTCTGCCTGAGAGACGCGAGAGAGGCAACCCATTCGACGCGACGACGTTGCGTCAACATTTATGACGGGTTGAAATGTCGAGACACGATCGAGACGTCCACATTTAAATAGGTTCTACCGACCCGAGATGGCACCTAAGCGCCGATTTAGCGATTCTGAACCCGGTGCCATCGGAACGAGTCCCCCGTATTTTTGACACAGTACCCGATCTTTTCCCACGTACAACTTAAGGGAAGGCTTTGGAAGTCCTCGATAGACCCGTTTAAAGAGGTAACCCGGCAGAAGTAGACTCCGAGTACTACTGGCCGGGGGGTCCGAGGAGACATCCTGCAATTTCCTAAGTCTCTACATGGCGGTATTAATGACATAAGATCTTGTAGCTCGTGTCTCTCGAGAGAGAGATCAAACGCAAAAACGTGTCTGCGGGGATATGTCTGGTTCTTTTTCAAATTTGGGAATGATGTTTAACATATATTTCCTTCACCGGACAAAAAGAGTTGCGTCACTCACGTATTTTACTCGAATTCTGAATCAAGGGAGGAAATACAATCTCAGTGGTACTCCCCAGGGATGTTAGTACTCGACAGAGTACTACCGCCCACCTGGATATCCTTCTTTGGGCCTCCTTGGGATGACAGTACTAAACAGAGTAATATCGATCATACATGCAATAATACCCGGTGATTTGTTGAGAAATTTGGGGGCTCAGAGACAGTACTCCAAGTATTCCTTAAACTTTTGCCAAATTTTTGGGGGGGCTGAAGCCCCTTGAGCCCCTAGGAATCGCCGCCTATGCATGCAATCTCGTCATGTAATCGATATTAGCGCTCGTTCAGACTCGGGAAACGGAGGAGGTACTGTAATGCCCAAACGTTGACAATTCAACGCTGGCACAAATTATTTTCGATGTTGAACCGAGTTTCACTTCAACATGGCTTCAACATCGAGGCAACACAATTACATTGAAAAATCAACCCGTGATCGATGTCGACACGACGTTGCCGTGCCGAATGGGATGGGCTTTTTCGCCTGCCGTTTCGGTCCTTCGCCTACCGAAGAGACGGAGAGATGGTGTTTCTCGATTCCCACACGAAGGAAACGTTCTCGAACGATCGGAACGTTTCACATACCGGAATCGCATTCCGGTACTTCGATTCCATCGCATGGAATTTCGATTCGCTCCGAGACGTCCGGTCGTTTCATCGGTTCGCACCATCGTATCTAAACCTTCCGTGTCGATACGGGGGGTTAAAAGCGACGAACCGGTAACGAGAGCGATGCCGAGAATGCGACACTTCTAGCCTCTCCGTGTTCCATCCGTCACGATGCGATCGACCGGGTTCTCATCCGAGCTCTTGCGTGCAGATCGTGAGCGACACCCATCGGTGAAAAAATATAGGATCTATTTTGGCCCTAACGCTTCTGGCACCTGTCGACATCGAAATCCGAGAGGAAAATTGCTTCCACTCTCTTCGATCGATCGGCCGACTTGTTTCCTTTTCAATCCATCCTTTTTTTTTTTTTTTTAGAGAGAGAGAGAGATTGCATGCTCCATCGCTGTAGCATGCGATCGTTTAGGCTAAAACTTATTTTATTTCTGTGCACGCGAAACACAACGAAGTGAGGACTTGAGACGGCATTCGGGAGAAACGGAATGGAGGGATGGCTAAATGGATGCGGTGCAAGTGCATGTCGCCGGATATCACGAGTACTGTACTGTGGTGCGTGTCCACGGACGCCTGTTGTATCGCTTTTTTTTTTATCCATGGAGTGCGGTGACGGGCCGATGGACGAATGGCTTTTCTTCGGTCACTCAGATAGGGAAAAAATGGATCGGTCGGTAGGAATGTGTGGATGAACGTAAGGATCGCGGGTGTGTGCACGGGAACGAGAAAGGAAAAGAAGTCCACGAACCTGGATCACGGCGTTTTCCCCGGTCCGATACACGCTTTCGCCTCGGGGTTTCTTCCGCCCGATGTAATTGACGAGCACGAACTCGAGAAGCGAGGCATAAATGAAGAACATGCTCACGCCATCCCACACGTTCATGGCACCCAATTTGGAGACGACGGGTAGGGAAGTGCGGAATCCGTTGGAAGTGGTGAAGAAGGTGAGAAGTGTGGTGACTCCGATCACGACCCGAGCCGGCGCCGCACTCCATTCCAACCAGAACGTGATGAAACTACTCGTCACCAAGATGATCCCCGGGATGAAGACCGTGCTGAAGTAGAAGGCTTTGTCCCGCGTGAACACCAGCTCGACCCGCAGGCAGCTGTAGTTCCCTGGAAATGCACGGATCGTCCGTGATGCCATCGCGTCCCTCGCGCGGAGAGAGTCCATCGAGTTCGGTCGTACCTCTCCACGACATGGTATCGGGACAGTCTTCGGTCAAGTTATGTACCATGTAGGCGTTGAACGAGGTCAGTCTCTTGGACTTGAGCAGAGATTTCCCTTCGGTCGTGTCGTTCACCCACTCGTACAACAGGTCGCTTCTCTCGTACGAGACTGAGTCGTAAAAGAGGTTCGAGCTCTTTAACGTCTCGAGCGATGAATTTTGAACGGAACTTCTACTCGGCTGGGTCTAATATCTCCGGATCGCAAACGACTCGGAACCATCCGTCTAGATTAAGGTCCAAAATATCCGATTCTTCGCGAATATATCGGTACGCTTCAGGCAATCATGAGAAAAAAAAAATTCTTTTTCTAGCCCGGAGCTAATGACGCCTATGGTGCATGCAAATGTTTTTATCGCCCCAGTGCATTATCAGAAAATAGAAAAAAATGTTCATCCTCCCACCGGGATACAGATGTTCATAAGTTTATTTGCAGATCTGATGAAAGCCATTGCTTGAATGAGACTTCCAGTTTGCGGGAAGTACTCATACAGATCAGAGCGCATAAAAATAATCGCTCTTCTGGTTCGTTTAACCCATTGAATTCGGAATAAAGCATTCCTGTTGCACAAATGGCCTTGATTTCCTCCATTTATAAAATGAACCACCGATCCGCTCTCACTAATCAATATTTCTGGGAAAATTGGATTCGATGTCTTCAAATACAAGGTTTCTCGTTCTTCAGAAATCCAAGGAACGAATATATTTGTTGAGAACTTAATTTGTCCGAAATCTCATCACAGATTCCGCGTAGATGGTGCAGTAAAAAAGTTTGGGGATCGTTACACCACAGTTGAGTCGTCTTGTTATCACTGTCCCTGGATCTCCTCGAAGCAGGGTTCACACTAGCTTCTTTAAATCCTGAGTCCTGGCGCTTAACTTCGGTTCGGTGGGAACACGTTCAGGTGGTTGTCGACGAGTCCCACGGACTTAGATATTTTGCAAATATGAGTCCCTCCAAGAAAATACGAGTCGGGGACTCGCTACAGCGAGTTAACGCGAACCCTGTCGAAGGCATGCCCCTTTGGATCTTAGACACTCGCTCCCTCGTATCTGGAACTACCAGAATCACGTATGGATCCCTATGGTACGTATGACGGCACTCGGAATCCGATGAATTACTCGCAGATCGTCATAATTTTGCTTTAAGTGGGTAACTCGAACTTGGGGAAGGGGGAGAAGCCCTCGGCTGACGCATGCACGCATGCACCCAGGGAACACGAAGGACGGTTGAGCGCGACCACAGACCCTCCTCGGGAGAAACGTACCGATGGGGATGTTGTACTCTAACGCATGTGCTTTCCGGTAGTTGCAGAAACGTGAACCCGGGTGTGTAACATCCTCGGGGCATACCCCGAGGAGATCCAGCATCGGGGTGACGACGCTTTCGACGACCGAAGCGTGGGGCCCGTCCCTAAACTTTTCGCGACGCATCGTTCGCGTGGAAAAGACTCGAGAAGCTCGATTCGAAGCGAAGGCCCGTAATCGGATCGTGAGCCTCGATATCGATCCCGTCGAGAGGTGGCCTCGAAAGATGTACAGTGTCGTGCGAAAAATCATTCCTCATTCAGTCGTTTTCCACCCATTCGAGACGTGAAAGATTGAAGAGCCCATCTCGGAGAACTGCAACGACTCACTGCTTTCGATGGAGAAACGACAGGCGGGATCGTCGAACGGGAAGATGTTCAGGTTTCCTTCGCACGACAGCACCAGGTGCTTCCTGACCGACAAAAAAAAAAACGGACATCCTCGTGAACGGTGGGAAAAGACGGGAAAGACGTGCTCACGACAGACCTCATGCTGTAGAGGATGGTGCCGTTCGGGTAGACGCGAAGGGCGATGTGGACCGGATCGGGAGGGTACTTGAATTCTCCGTGTTTCAAGAAATAGGTATCGGGGATCCAGAGTTGATCCAAGTGATGGATGGCATTCAGGTACTGATACTTGCTGATGCTGTTCGTCTTCTCCTTCACGGCCAGCCGCTTGTCCTCCCAATGATGATGCATGAGGAACTCCACCTCGTATTTCTAGGGGACCGAAACGGAGGAGGAAGACGTCCGCGCGTTTCCGAGAGCATTCGCGACGAGGTGCCGTACACGACGAGATGCTTTCTTCCTCTCGATACGAGGGTCGAGGGAACGGTCGTAACTTTGTTCCTCCCTCGTCTGTCCAAATAGAGGAGGGAGTCTCCGGGGAATGCCTTCCCTCACGGATTTCCTTTCCTCTCTTTTCTCTTTCTTCGGAAAGAATTCATCGAGATCCGCGTCTGGTATCGCCGCGTCGAGGCACGAGCATGCGCTCCGTACCGGTCAATTTCACTTCCCCTCTCCTTTCCGGTGGATCTTCCGTTCCGAAAGGGCTCTCACCCGAGCGTATAGGCTCCAGAGCTCGGGCGACCGAGGGGAAGCGGTCTCGAGGTGGCCACGGGCGTCGTAAAATACCTCATCGCGATCCCCGTGGGTGCGATCGCATCGCAGAAACGGACACGGAGATACCCTATCGTAACTACCACGGTCGTCGTCATCTCATTCGATCGTCTCTCGCGACGATCTCGTAGGGACATCATCGTCACCCAGTCAAAAAATTTTCAGCAAAAAATTTTCATCGGGCCATCGATGACTTTTCGTCGACGCGGCCACGAGCCGTAGTTGAGCCATCACTGGCATGCGGTTGGCTTATGGTTGGTTTAAACCGGCTTATAGTCGGACGTGTCCTGTTGGCCCTTCGCTGGACCGACTTTGGCTCATCGTTGGGAAATCGCACGTGCCCCAACCGTAAGCCGACTTTTCACAATGTGAAAAGGCATAGGAAAAAAGCCGACATGAAGTGCACATGCAACCTTTTGTATCTCGGAGCGATGAGAATGCATTCGTTGGCCCCCTCCTGCTCCTTCGTCTCTACCAGATGAAGGAGCCTTACCTTACCAGAATACCTTACACAGGTACACTCCTATCGCCGAGAATATCCCAAGCAACATCCCTTCCGCAAGGCTGGTCAAAGTGGATGTTTTCTAAGGTACTTCGCTCGGTGAAAGCCGCACTTTGGCCACCCCTGCTCTAGCCCATTGCAAACAGTCTCGGGTCGCAGTAGTGACGATTGCGTGACGATAGTCGGTCCTGCGTAGGCGGATTTTACTACCTTTGCGAATCGACGTACGCCATTTTTACCACGGTAGCGGTTTCAGCCTACGCAACTTTCAATACGGTAGTGCTTTCTACGGGGCAGTAAGTTTCGCGTCCTACACCGGGCACACCTCACACGTGATAAAACTTTCTAATGTCTTTCGGTGGAGCGAAAAACAGTCGCGTGGCCTATCGTGGGCGTAGAAGGATCCTCCCACGGACCTCCAGGCCGGAATTTTCTGGCTCATTCCAGGGCTAGGTTACATCTTCAGAGAAATGGTTCAAGGAATTCGATCGTCTTCCTCTGAGATCTAAGTGAGAAACCTTAGGGAACCGTGTCGAAAAGGACAGGGGACTCGTTTCGGTCGAATCCAGGAGGTGACTCCCCACCTGGACCAATTTGACTCCATCTCACGCAATTTTGGGAACCTTCTCGGCCGCATTGGGTCATCTTCGGCGAACGATCGGACGGCCGATCGTTCGCCAAAATTCGCCGAAAATGAGTCCGCTTCCCCATCTATGGCCCGACGATAAACGAACGAAAATTTTCGGCTGGGCATAGCACCTTTTTGTTTCGCGGCGACGACTTAGCGGAGCTATCCCCTTGCGTCGTGCTGCGCTATTGCAGACGTCACGATCTCGATCGCGTCGTCGAGGGAGCCGAAAGAGGGCGTCGCGTCGCAGTCGACGATACTCGCTTCGTCGCCTTGGCGATCGTCGTCGTCGAAGCCTCGGTCGGAGAAGTCGAGCGCGAGCATGCTCGATCTCGTTTCACCTCGACGCCTCGAGAGCGACGAAGATCGCGCGTTTCGAGATCTGCGGATCGCGACACTCGCGTCGCTTCGACGGGCCGTCGTTTCCACCGCCGGCCCGCGAGACGCGGCCACTCGCCGTTTCCTTTCGCGGGGGTCACGAAGGAGGAGAAGGAGGTTCACACTCACGAGGCTGGATTCATCCGGAGAAGACAGGCTGAGGAGAAGCACGCTCACGTTCACCACCAGAGGACCTGCAATCCGATCCACTACATTTCGATGCGGTACGCGATCGCCACGGTCACGACGATAGCGATATTTACGTAAGCGTTTACGACCCGTCGTTCTTCCCGGTCCCCTCGTCTCTCCGTTGGGACCGACGACCGGACGAGTCGGAAACGGACGAGATGCTTTCCCGAGCTTCGTTCTTCGGAACGAGACGGGTCGTCGGGGAGTCTTGCACGGCGACGACGGGGAAAGTTCGAAGATTTGTTTGATATCGCTAATGAAAGCCAAATAATAAGAAGCGGGATGTGTACAGAGTCGACACGAAATAGGCCATCGGCCGGAGTGCTCGACCTGCGGACGGCGGGCTTCCATCTCCCGGACGGCAGACCCTTTTCTCTTCGCCTGCTTCCCCCATCTCTCTGCCTGCGTCCCCGATCGTCCGATCGAAGGGAAACGTCCGAAAGGGTCGGGGTGTCGAGGGCTCCGACCCTCTCCGACGAACTCGTTTCGCGACCGATCCTTCCGATCGCTACGGCCTCCCGCACGTCTCCGTCCGATGGCGACCGTCGGCTCTCGTTTCGGAATCTCGTTTCCGGACCGCGGAATCTCCGAGCCGTCGGGTCGGTCGACTTTCCCGCATCCGAGTCGAACACCTCGTTCGGGGTCGCTTTCGGTCTTCCCTGCCGGCGCGAGAGGAGATCGATGGAGACGGAGGTAAACACGAGGATTTTCCTGAAATATTAAAATGGCGTCTTTTGCAGCCTCGTCTCGCGCGTCCGGTCCCGGCGAACGCGTACTTCACCGATGCGATCGGATCGCACCCGACGCGAGGCATCTGTCATCGGTGATACGCGGTGACGACACGGAGACGACGACCGACCGGCCTGGATTCTGTGGCGCAGTGGTAGCACGTCCGACCTGCGATCGCGTGACTCGGGTTCGATTCCCGGCGGTTCCCGTCGTCTCGCGCCGTCAAACTCCTCGATCCGACGGCCACTCGTGCATCACGACCGATGCGTCGCTCGTTCACGGAGCATGGAAGCTCTTCTTCCGCGGCTGCCTTTCGTCGCTCCGCATCCGCAGGGAATCGTCTCGTTCTTCGGTTCGGGAAAGAAGCAAGAGTCGGTGCGAGGCCGGATACCGTTTCGGCAGCCGTTTCGTTCTGCACCGCTGCAGAAATGCGTGGGCGAGAGCATCACCGTCCTGCAGGATCCACGACGAAAGTGCGGACCTTTTTCTCGCTCGCAACGTTCGACGAAGTACTTTTGGAATAGCGTCCGCATGCGTGCGATCCGTCTCCACGTGACGTCTCGGCGAAGTGCCTCGAGAGTCCGACGACGAGCGGAAGACGAAGGACGCTCTCCCGCGGAATCCTACCGTTTCGATTCGGGTTCGCGGCTACGGGCGGAGGAACTGCCGCTCGCCCGACCGATCGCGTTCGAGTCCGTCCTGCGAGATCGACGTCGATTTTCCGACGATCGCTCGCTCGAAGCGTCGTCGCGAGCGATTCGTTCGGGTCTCGCGGAGATCCCGGACCGACCGGGTCGTCGTTCGTCGGGGATCGATTCGCGACCGTGAAGGAAACGCTCGCGCGAGCAGGATCCAGCGTCTCGCGATCGACGATACCGTACGCGCCCTTCGTTCGAACGAGAGCGTCTGTTGCAGACATCCCACGTCTCGCACAGAAGGTCCGCATGCATCGTTGCTTCGCGTTCGGCTCGACTCTCATCGAGACGGACGTCACGATCGTCCGAGCAAATGCTTCTAACTCGCTCGAGAACGGGTTCGTGCGATCGGAATTTCTCTCTCTCGTACCGACCACGAGTGCATGCATCGGCCGTCGTCGGTTCGCGGTACGACTCGTAGAAGCGATGCAGGGTCGCAGGTCCATCCGTCGACCCTCGAAGGTGCTCCCGTTCTCTCCCGTAGGGAATCCCAAACGCGCCTCCGCATCGCGAGCGACGACCTGCGGCATCATCTCTTCTCGTTTTCGTCGGGTACGCGTCCTGCCGACTTCGTCTGAAGCGGCAGCGAACGCGTCGAAACGTTTTGCCTCGCGAGAACGACTCGGGAAGAGTCCCCATCGACCGAAGAGAAAAGTCGGACCGGTCGCGCGACGTCGCACGATCGGCATCTTTCTCGTGCGAGGAGGCAGGGGACCGTGGAAGCGGACGACACTGGGGGGGGGGGGGAAGGCCGGACGAAGCTGGAAGAAGCAGAGGGTCGGTACGGATCCTCCAAACGAGATTCCGAGTCAGGCGATCCCGTCATATAGCCCACGAGTGTGCACGCTCGTTCGGCTAAGAAGGTCATGGAAGGGAATCCGCATCCCGTCACGCGTTCCCTTCCCCCCTCTCTCCCGTATTCCGACTCGCATTCTCATCACCTTTCCTCGTTCCCAGGCATCCGACCGATGTCGTCGCCTCGCTCCTTCGCCCGTTCGTCTCATCGTTCGTCGGGAGATACGTCTGCCTCTCGCATCTCGGAACGAATTGTGGTCAGCAGAAAGAATGATGATTGCATTTGCGACGAAAATTATATTTTCTTCCCACATTTTAATGGGGGGGGGGATTGACCCTTTGAGTGGTGAGTTTCCTTCGCGCTCCTAGGATGTTTGTAATAATAAAAAATTCAGAGGTCCTTCAACGATAAATTTCTTGAATTTTTTTCATAATGTGATAAATAATTGTCGATCGTAGTACGCGAAAGGCAAAAAATGCAGCAAACGCTCATAAAGGGGAATTTACACAAAACATGAAACTGAAGTTACATTAAAATGTTAAAAACGTGGGCTGTATCGCAACTGGAGGGGTCACATCTTAACGACCCGGCTTAGCCGAGCTTATCGTCTCGAGGGGGAGGTCGGGAGGTCGGGAGGTTGGGGAGTTAATAATCCTGCCCCGGACTTTCGGATAGATAGAGCTCTATATCTCAACCTGAGATGGAGTTACGAAGTGTCTTATTTATATAAGTTAAGTTTAGCTTTGACATAAGTCGTTTCGGTTTGTTTGAGTTCATAATATCCTTACGATGAAGTTTGACCCTTTCTGGACTCGTCGACCGAGTCCGACGAGCCGCCAGGAATCAGCGCCGAGACCTATCTCCGTGGCCCCTCCAGTAGTGGAACGACCAAAACGACGAGATGCGGAATCTCCGTCCGTCCCGAGCGATCGCTGCCATCCTATACGGTCGCAATACGTGCACGGAATCGGTCGGACTCGGTCGAAAGACTTCGGCATCCGACGTCGTGGGAACTCGACCGAGCGAGGAAAGTCCTGCTCTTTTGCATCCGGCATCCTTTGGCATCCCGACGGCAGGCGACGCGCGAGACGACACCGAGAGAGGAACGGAGATCGGAGTCCTACTTTCCCGTCCGGCACCCGACTTTTCCGCTTTCCGGCTGGATCCGATTTTCGTTTTCTTCGATCGTCCGTCTCGGTCTCGTCTTCGAGCTTCGAGGAGCCCGTCCGTCCGAACCGTGGAGAACCGGAAATCGGTCGGATCTCCGCGCGATCGCGCTCTCACCGGACGATGGGATCGCCACACATCGATGGGAGTCGGATGGGATCGATTCCGTGCCTCCCCCACTCTTCAAAGTGGAACTTTCGAGTCACTTTTATTTAGAAGTGACTCTCGAAGGTAAACGGTGCTTCGAAGTTATCAGGGGCCCACGTATGTAAAAGTAACTAAAAGGTCACCAGACCGTCATGACTTTCATCGAATCGGAGACATTCGTAATAATGGTCACGCGAAACGTTACCGGCACGGTAGAGCACGGAGGTTCGCACGACCGGGGCCAGATGGCGCCAAAGTAGTCGCTATTGCGAGTCGATACCTGATACAGCCAGTTATCAGAGTGAAGGAGGATTCCCCCCAAAGTTACGAACAATGGCTGGTGGGAAAGGGGACGAGGTCAGACTCGGCGCATGGAAGAAGCGAGGAATTCAAAGAGGATTTAAAGAACCCTT